GGGTGAAGTGCGGCTGTCGCCCGATTGCGCTTTACAGACACCCTGCTCCACTGGCTCGGGGTTCTTCCTCTCTCAAGTCCAAAATTAGTCCTGGTTCAGTTCTGGTTTAGACCTGGTTAGTCCTGGTCTAGTCCTGTTTTAGTCCTGGTTCAGTCCAGGTTCAGACCTGGTTCAGTCCTTGTTCATTACATGTACAATATCTACTGTAGTGCAATAACAAGTACTGCAGTGACACACATTTTGCTCAAATACACAGAAAAAATCAGGTACAGGCCGTTATTGTAGTTACTAAACCTGAATTATTTGTTCAGTGTGAATGAAGTCATGGTTTATGTTTTATTAGGCCCAATGAAGGTCTTATACCATGTGACCAAAGTGGATGTTGTGGTAATATTTGGCTACATTCAGACTGCAGGCCTTAATGCTCAATTCAGATTTTTTTGTGAAATCCAATGTTTTTGTGAGGTCGTTCACATTTCCAATTAAATTTGACTTGTATGTGACTCCAGTGTGAACGTTAAACGGCCCGAAAGTGTCCCGCATGTGACACTGGAGACACAATGACGTCAACCACAGTGAGCGTCTCTGTGTTTACAGAAGTTGTCCAAACATGGACGCAGCATTGAGCACCTGGAGATTTTAAAGTTCCTCTCGAACCGGAGCCAGAACATGAACAACTTACTTGTTTTAAAGAGGAGATTGAGAAGGAGAAGGACGAGGTTTTTGGTCGTGGTGTTTTGTGGGGCAGCGGCAGCGACGTCCATTGAAAGGAACGTGTGGATGTGGAGACGGAGCCAAGAGTGGTGAGTGGTGATGTGCTTCACTTCAGTGACACTGAGTTCATTAACAGTTTTCGCCTACTTCAGAGCAGAATAGTGACGTTTGTGTCTTGTTGATAACGTGTAGGTGGATGAATGCACTTTGGCCGTTCACACTGAAGTCACATGTCAAAAGATCAGATATGTATCGGTTTCAGGAGCACATATCCAAGTGTCCTGGGTCACATTTGAAAAAATCGGATCTGTGTGGTTCAGACTGTCATTAAAAGATCAGATACAGGAACATAGAAGCCAAAAATTTGGATTTGGGTCACTTCAGGCTGCAGTGTGAACATAGCCTTAGAGGCTTTGTTTTGGCCTGTAAATCAACACTTATATATCACTTTATACTGTCTATTCACTGTTAAAAAAAAAAGTTTTACATCGAATTAAATTTTGCTTTTTTGCATTCTACATCTGCCCTTCTTGATGCAATCGAGGCCCATAAATGATGCCAAATGCAGCTTTTGAAATGGTCTCATCTCTAATATTTTCACGCCAAAACATCAGCTCTGGGCAGTGCAATTAATCACATTTCAATCAAGGTCGCTATTCAGGCTTTTCTAATCATCAGTGTAATGTCTGAGTGTTTTTAACGACGAGGTACAGCCGGTCCTGTGTCAGTAAAGCGGCAGACTCCAGAGGAATACATTTTTACTTGTTTTTTGGAACTGATTATTATAGTTATGTCTAGGAAATTCAATTTGATTTGGAAAAACAAAACAAAAAAAACAACAATATTTGGTGAGGCCAGCCCTGCAGCGCTCCAGCTAAAGTTGTAAAATGGAAGTAGTTGACACATAATCCATTTTCAATCTGGTCTTTTTGAGTTTTTGTTAACAAAGTGAAGAGATTTCAAAACGTGCTAAAAATTCTCGATCATAACGGTTGACAAAGTGGTTACTGTTGTCGACTTTGAGCTGATTCTCACCTGGCTTTGGATTTCCCTGTGTGCATTTTCAATACACGGGCAGACACAGTCCTAGCGCCCTCTGCTGGGGGTTTGATACATTTTTTGAGGTATTTTAAAGCCACATGAATTATGATCATTTATTCTACAGGATAAGCGTCCAAAAGTATCTCAAAAATACTAATCTATCTGTAAATATTCCTGACAGTTTTGATATAAATTGTGTCCCATGTCCAGGTACAACAAGTCACAGGAAACTTGAACTCCTTGGACTAAAATGGCAACATAAAGGGCGGCTGAAGATATTCAAGTGTAGCTGGCTGGTTGTAATCCGCCCATATTATGTGCAGAGAAGAGTTAAGACTCTTTGATGGATCCATGACAGTGATTGGATATTGGCGCTGTCAATCATCTGTCAGTCTCAGCTCCCGCAGAGAAGACTGGTAATTGGCAAATGTGTCTGTGGCTTTATATTTTAGCACGTTTTCAAATCGAGCTTAGGGGGATTTAGTGTCTTAGTGCCAAACTTTTCATTCTGGTTTGATGAGTCTTTTTTTTTTTTTTTTCTCCTCAAATCAGTGAAATAATAAGTCTCCTCTTCCTCTTGTAGCTCAGAGTTCTTCCACACATACAGTATATCCTCTCGCTCCTCTGTCTCCCTTCCTCCACCTGCATGTCTCTATGGAAATGTTACTGAATTGCCTGGAATGTTCCACAGTGTGGCATTAATATTCAGCAGCACCGATTTTAATTAGGGCTGAGCAAAAATAAAAAATATTAATTGCATTAATAGCATGAGTTTGAGTGTGATTCATCCAGGCATTTCCAAACTATGGCCCGGGGGCCAAATGTGGCCCTCAGACAAAATTTTTCTTGGCCCTCAGGCTTCCAGGTGAATTGGCCCAAATGACCTTGCATCAATTAAAAAATATTTTTTTACTACAAGTTTTTTGAAAATCTACCTTGATAAAACCAGTATTTAATATTTCATTTGTGGTTTTAAGGATCTTAGCATAAAGACTGACGGCTCATTCTAACGTGTTAAACATGCACATATTTCAATTATTCCCTGTACTGAGCATCAGTCTACGGCCCTCGATCGGCCCTCTGTTTCTTCTGTGTTTAGATATATGGCCCTTGATGAAAAAAGTTTGGACACCAATGGTTTAATCACATATTTTACGCAAAACCAATGCATGAATAAAAAAGTAGTGTATCGCGACTTTTATTGGAAATGTAAATGAAAGAGCCAAACATTTGTTGTGCAAACAGCATTTCTTTCAGAGGGGAACAATCAGAGCCTTCAAGGTTTTCTGAAGGCCCAAGAAAAAATATTGAATAAATTTTTGTACTAATATACTTTTTCAATAGTTTTTATTCAGTGAGTAATAAACACGACACTAGTAATAATTTCTAGATCATTGTTATAAACTTGGACTGATATTTCTTGGGAAACAAAAGGTTAATATAATGAAATGGAAATGGACCAATCACAATTATTTTTTCAGTGGTATCTGGGTAAATCAGCGACTCCCCCTGCAGGACTGAACTAAACAAACACCTGCAGGACTTCCCCTTCCTGTAGCAAAGGCCCGTGCAATACAAGTCATTGTGGAGATGAATTTGAGATTGACAGTTGTCTTAGCCAATCATGTTTCCTTGAGTTATGGGCGGGATCATATCATGACATCTTCCGGGCCTTTGCGAATACCCTGTGATAGCATTATGTAAGCGAGACCACGAAAACCACACTGGACACCTCTATTTGGACGCCACAGGGACGTCTGGAAGAGGAAGAAAGAGAAAGACCTGTGAACTGGAGCCGAGGCTCGGAGCCCACGGCCAGGCCAGAGCTAGGAGCCCGTGGAGGCTCGGACACGTTGCATCTCACGTGGTCAGAAAAAAGTGACACAAGTGTAAAGAAAAGACGTGAAACTTAAAGAAATGCTCACGGTGGACTTTTTCAAAATAAAAGCCAGTGAGCAACAGATGTTTACAATAAAATAAAAAATAAAAAAAAAAAAAACTGCTTTAATGGCGTTAAAATAATTGCCGGCGATAATCAGTGTTGGGGAGTAACAGATTACATGTACTGGAGTTACATAATCAGAGTACAAATTATGAGTAACTGTATTCAGTTACAGTTACTGTTTCAGTGAGTGGTAATTGGATTACAGTTACTTTGTTGAAGTAAATGGATTACACGGCGGTATGTTCCTGTTTTCACATTTTGGGCGATATCCCCAGGTCTAAACTAGATCTAAACCAGGACTAAAACCAGGTCCAAACGAGATCTAAACCAGGTCTAAACCAGGACTAAAACCAGGTCTAAACTAGATCTAATCCAGGACTAAAACCAGGTCTAAACCAGGACTAAACCAGGACTAAAACCAGGTCTAAACTAGATCTAATCCAGGACTAAAACCAGGTCTAAACCAGGACTAAACCAGGACTAAAACCAGGTCTAAACTAGATCTAATCCAGGACTAAAACCAGGTCTAAACCAGGACTAAACCAGGACTAAAACCAGGTCTAAACTAGATCTAAACCAGGACTAAAACCAGGTCCAAACTAGATCTAAACCAGGTCTAAACCAGGACTAAACCAGAACTAAAACCAGGACTAAAACAGGATTTAACAGGACTAAACCAGGACTAAAACTAGGTCTAAACCAGGACTAAAACAGGACTAAACCATGCTAAACCATGAATAATATTTTTAATTTGGTTCAGTAAAGTCTGGGCTTTTTATTTTCTTTTAACAGACAAAACATCTTATGTTACGATATCCTTGTCTTTGCTTCTCGACAGCAAATCAAGTAATCCAAAGTATTCAGATTACGTTACTCACTTTAAGTAATTTAATGGATTACGTTACAAACTACATTTTGGGGTATGTAATCTGTAATCTGTAGGGGAATACATTTGAAAAGTCACCTTCCCAACACTGGCGATAATGATTTAATTAGTTAATGCAAAATTAACATGTTAACATGCTCTAATCTTAATTGTTAAATATTTTTGCTATAAAAACTAATCAAACATAAACTGGGTCGGCTCTCCATAGTCTGACCTGTCTCTTATCCCAATGGTAAGTTTTATGCTCTACGATGGAAAATTCCAGACAAAGCAATAACATCTCCATGGAAACAAGCAGGCGGCTCACTCTCTACCAGAAAAGTGACTTAGTGCACTTTTATCATCAGCTCTGTAGCATGTCTTCTGTCCTATAATCACCGCTTCTAAACTGGAATTCTGTTTTTCTCCTTTCAGACATTAACGAGTGTAAAACGGGCCGTAACACGTGCGCCAACGACACGGTGTGCTTTAACCTGGAGGGGGGGTACGACTGCCGCTGCCCCCACGGACACAACTGCACCGGAGACTGTATCCATGACAACAAGGTCAAGCACAGCGGCCAGATCTGGGTCCTGGAGAGCGACCGCTGCTCCGTCTGCTCCTGCCAGGTACGGAAATACACACTGTAGATCATTAGTTAAACGTGTACTTCGGTGGTGGAAGGAGACGCCTACTTGTCTCCCAGGAAATTATTCTTCATTGTCTGAAAAAACTTACTGATGTGTATGAAGACAAGAAGGTGCCGCCGTCAGGACAGATAAGTTGCATAATGTTTAAATGATCAGTAATACTTTTAATAAGATTTGTATTATTCTTGACTCAGCTGAGACTTGACTGTGTCACATGTATTCTCTGTTATCACGTTCTCTTAAAGGTACATTGTGTAACTTTTCTGGTGGAGGGTCCGTCAATCACTGTTCTCTATGTTATTGCTTTGTCTGAAATGTTTCACAGTATGGCATTAAACCTTTCTATGTCCCTTCATGGAGACCAAACCAGACCAAGTTACAGGTCAGATCTGTGGAGAGGTGACCCCGCTCACAGTCACAATGTCTATTGTCTAGGTATGTTTGAGCTATTAAACCACCTGTAATTCAGTAAATGTAAGGTTGAGATGTTTAATGTCACACTGTGGAACATTTCAGGCAGAGCAATGACATCTCCATAGGAAGAAGCAGGTGGCGGACCCCGACCAAAAACTTACACAGTGTTTCAAATAGTTACTTTTTGTTTACAGCAAATATTCATTTGAAAATCACTAAGGCTCAATTTGATAACTACTACTACTTCTACTACTAGTACTTCTACTACTGCTACCGCCACTGCCACTGGTACTAGATTACTATTCTACTACTACTACTACTACTACTACTACTACTACTACTACTACTACTACTACTACTGCTACTCCTACTCCTACTGCTGCTGCTGCTACCTCCACTGCCACTGGTACTAGACTGCTAGTACTATTATTTCTACTCCTATTACTACTGTTACTACCACTATTTCTACTGCTACTGCCACTGGTACTAGACAATTACTACTACTACTACTACTACTGCTACTGCTGCGCTACTCTACTGCCACTGGTACTAGACTGCTAGTACTATTATTTCTACTCCTATTACTACCACTATTGCTACTCACACTGCCACTGGTACTAGACAATTACTACTACTACTACTACTACTGCTGCTACTACTACTACTACTACTACTACTAACCCTTCTGCTGGTGCTTCTCACACAAAAAGGATCAGATTTATATCCATGGATAGTTTCATTTCACAGTAGCAAGCAACAAATTAAATGTTCATGTTTTTATTTTTGAAAATGGTTTCATGATATTTTTGAACCGCTCATGTATGTCAGAATAGTTTTGAATAAAGGCAGGCAAATACAGAGCAGCTACTCAACCACCGCGACCTCTCAAGCCTCAAGTACTCAAACACGCACAGAGCAAAGTACTACAATATATACTACAGCACTATTGTAAGATAATGTGAAGATATTACACATTATATACTCCCTTTAATAAACTAATAATGATGATGGTAATACTACTGAACAGTTCAGTCCTGCTGTGTCATACTACAAACCCCACTACTACTACTGCTGCTACTGCTACTACTACTACTACTACCACTGCCACTGGTACTAGACTACTACTACTACTATTACTACTACCACTATTGCTACCATCACTGCCACTGGTACTAGAGTACTGCTACAACTACAACTACCACTACTAGTACTATTACTACTATCACTACTATTACTATTTAATAAACATGTAATAATATTGCTAATGCTGCTGAACAGTAATGTCCAGTTGTGCCGTACTACAAACCCCAGACTGCTCTGTACACTTATGATGTCGTGTAATATAAAGACAGAGATTAGGATGTCACTTTTTTTTTTTTTTTTACTTTTGGTACATTTTAAAGGTCTGATCTGTAACGTTGCCCTGGTCTTGACTTTGGCTCGCCTCATAATGGCTGCGTCATTTGAAAATTACAGTACTTTGCGTGTGGCTGCGGTGTGTGATTAAGTGTATTGTAACCTTTCATTCAGAGTTCTTCAGCGCTCTATAATCATAAGACCTCTGCAGAGCCTCAGAGCCTTTTAAAGACGGGGTCCATGGAAAAATAGAAATAATATGCACTTACCCCAATAACTGCTCAATTAATGTGAGGCCCAACATATAATTCAACCAATCACGTGGGTTCTGCTTTGTGTGGGATTAGATCACAATTACTCCTGTTTGTCCGTGAACTTGTCTATTTAGGTTGAAAAAAAAAAAAAAAGAAAAGAAAAAAAAAGTTGCTTATAATATTAAAAAAATAAAATGTAGAATACAGTAATAATTTAATTTTTACTTGTACATATACATTTATATAATTATACCTTTCTCTCACAACTCACCCATATGCAACAGATAACCCTATGTCCTGTCAATCATCACAATCTTTTCACCGTTTCCATACACTATTTTTGTTTTAGTATATTTCTATATTTTATTTTGACTTGCTGTCACATCTAGAGGAGAAGTAGGACCCAAAATGCAAAACTGCATTTCCAAAATTGTTTAATGGCCAAACACAAAATCCAAAACCGACATAAACCAACAAAGGAGAACACAGAGGTATATATGCACACACATGAATGACACACAGGTGAGACACATTAGGGCGGGGCAAACAATCAGGACAGGAAGTAAAACTCAAAACTACAAGCAGACAAAACAAATGTCAAAATAAAACACCAAATACAACCACTACAAACATGAACCATGACAGTACCCCCCTCTAAAAGGGACGACTCCCAGACATCCCCAAAGAGTCACAATGAACACATGAGGGTGGAGGGGGCCTGGAGGAGGGACCAACTAGAAGGGCAGTACCAGTAGAGCCCAGAGACTTAAAAAAAAGAAAAAAAAAAAATCCAAAAATCCAAAGACTCCAGATGTAGAGGTCAGAAGGCTGGTGATGAGTCCGAAAAATTGGATGGTGAAAAAAGTGCTTGAGTCCAGGTGAAAGCTGCTGTGCTGATCACACACTGGGGAAAAAAAACAATACAAATTATGTTTAGGCTTTGAAACTTATTTCGATCCCCTCTACACATTTTTCTCAGAACATGAATGTCACTTTTTCATGTTGATCAAATCATGCTGAATATGCAGATTTATCTTATACATTTCATGATAAGGTGACATAATTTAATTAAATTGATCTAATTCTGTAAAAGAATACAAAAACAGTCTTTAGTTTTCCACAGTTCTGTTTTGTCTTAACAGAATCAAACACACAGAGACACACAAGTACAGAGACACACAGTTTGGAGCTGGACAGTGTGAAGAAGCTCTGGTCTCTGTGGACACAGAATAACACATGATGATCACATTCTGATGATCTACTCTGTTGTACATGTTTAAATATATTTAAAGTACTTATTACTACAATAATGGACCAGAACAGAATCACATGAACATTAGAAGTGTATCTGCAGAAACAAAACTTACCGTGTGCTGCTTCTCTTCCTCGAAACGCAGTAACAGGGAGGGCATCTGGTATAAAGTCTCCTAGTGCCACATCACCTTGTAGAAACACAATAACTGTTTCAATAGAAGTACATTTTGAAAAATGATTTTAAAATCATTTTAGTTGAGTTACTTTTCATCTGTGCCCCGTGTTTCGTTGGTTCTCAAACCTCTTCCTTTTTCCTGAAACATCAGCTGTAACATTCATGAACTTCCCCACAGCTCCAGCAGAGCTCTGGACGTCACTTTTTGTAGATGACTTTGGAACAAACACATTCAAATCTTAGTTCAACTGTCACACTCTTGTAGATGAACAGTCAAATACAATTTGTTTCATGGAAACAGTTCTTACATTAACTCTAATTTCAAATAAAACACCACAAACATGTTTTAAACTTAAAGTCATGTTTCCTCAACTTGATTAAAACATGCAGGTGTAACATCGACCACAATCAAGTGACCTTTGTAAGATTTAAACATGCTTTACAGAGAATCATAAAAAAGTCATGTTATTGTTGTCAAAATTTTTTTTGCAATTTGAGCAACCCCTCTCGGACCATTTTTTCAGTCAAGGAAAGTACTGAGGAACAGGTAGCCACCCCGGACGGAGAACTATGTCCAGTGGTACGGAGTACGGAGATACTTGTCTGGTGGTGGCTCAGGGCACAAGGAAGGTCAACACAGGGCAGCAAGTGTTCATCAGGGTTCAACAGGGACCAGCAGGGACCAGGTCTGATGGAGAAGGACACTCAAGTGAGGATCCATGTGCAGGAGTTGGTCTGGGAGTAAAATCCAGGTGTCAGAGGTGCAGTTTACCGAGTCCAGTCTTGGTTGGTTCATTCTGTTCCATCTAGAGCAGAAGTAGGACCCAAAATGCAAAACTGCATTTCCAAAATTGTTTAATGGCCAAACACAAAATCCAAAACAGACATGAGAGTCATAATGACAATAAACCAACAAAGGGCAAAGGAGAACACAGGGTATATGCACACACATGAATGACACACAGGTGAGACACATTAGGGCGGGGCAAACAATCAAGACAGGAAGTAAAACTCAAAACTACAAGCAGACAAAACAAATGTCAAAATAAAACACCAAATACAACCACTACAAACATGAACCATGACACTTGCACTTATACTTTTCTATAATTCTGTCTTATTTGAGTCTGTCTCTTTCTATTTCTGCTGCGTACTCTATTTAGAAGAAGATATTGTGATGTGTGAGCTACTGTGTCCAAGTCATTTCCCTTGTGGATCAATAAAGTTTGTCTAAGTAATTATTTCAAGTATAATTGCCTTTCTATTGTCTAAAGAAAATTCAGTTTTAATCATAGTTGAGGTTTTGAAATCAGTATCAAGCCTTTTACTTTGAATCATCACTGAGATTCCATTATTCACTCACAGCATTGTTACAATACTAAAAGGAATAGACTTGATACTCGGTACAGATTCCAGACTCTTTCTTTGGACAGTAGAATGTCATTTTCCACATTAAATGGAGGTATTTTCTTTCCTATCCCCTTGTGTCCTTATGTGTGTGTAATCCCTCAGTGGTCCGGGTCGGT